GTTTTGTCATTTACCCCTTAGCAAAGCTGAAAAATAAATGAGAACATGATGTTCAAGTCTCTTGCACTGAAGTGATGCCATTCTCTGTGCAAAGATCTCACATGCAGGAGGAAAGACAACTTAGCTATAACTTGATCTCAACTAAAAGCGTTTAGTCAGAATCAGAATACACACTTCTGCATTCAAGCTCTCGATCTATTAAAGATACCTGTGGTACGATACCCCTCTTGATCTAAGTGGGCATTAGCAACCCTGGGAAGCCACTGTGATAAAATGTAAGGGGTGGGGGGAAATCTATGATCAAAGGGTGATGCAGAGACGATCTTACACAGAGCAGCGTGGCCGAGAAAAGACCTGTGTTTACCAAGGACCGTCTGTGGGGTGACGGCTGGACTGCAAGAGCCAGCCCTGAAGTTAAGGAGGGACTATTCTCATGAGCTGTCACGTTCATGTTCCACTGACTTGAGTCTCTGTGTCTAGAAGGAGGGTGGGCTGTACAAAGAGACGCTCTGCGAGGGCCAGAGCAGTCACAGGCCTTTTATCCCTGAACCCAAGAAGAGCAAGTGCAGGGCCCATTGAGTGGCAGCTGCTGTTTTGGACTCTTCACTTCCCTGCAGTGAGGATGCAGGGAAGGGTTCTACCGGGTAATGCCTTGTTGGAATGCTTAAAAAAAAAAAGAGAAAAAAATTGAAAGCACGTTTCAGCAGGTGATTTTCTGTAAGGTCAATAAAGCACTGACAACAACTTCAGCTGAATTGTTTATACCCGGTTCCTCTCCTTGAATCTCCAACACATGCTAACTTGTATGAGGGCAGGACTTTCCTGAACAAGATGGCCACATAGGTGAACACCTGTACTCGCCACCACCCACCACCACATCAAAATTACAACTAAAATACAGGACAGCCATCATCCAGAACAGCCGGAAAGCTGGCTGAATGGAAGTCTTACAACTAGAGAAGGAAGAAAGCAGACTGGTAGGGATGGAGGTGTGAAACATACTGGGCCAGCACCCACGTGGGCTGTATTTTTAAATCTGGAGGGAGATGGTCTCTGCAGAGAGGAGCAAGGGGGCCCAGTACCCCTCTCCTCTCCCCCAGCCCAGGGTCCCAGACTGGGAAGAGAAGTCCCTGTGGGCAGTAAGAACCAGGGGTTGTAAACACCAGTGCAGATTGGGGCTCAGCAACACGAAGGCTATTGTGAGTTAACCCTTAGCTATCAAGAAAACAACCCTCCCCAAAACAGGCCTGTGTTTTCCTCACTAAGAGGAGCTTGACTAAAATTTGGGATTTTCCTGTCAACATAGTAATGGCAGGCAAGGTAAAATAGGAGCAAAATATTAAAAAGATAGAAAAATTGGATTAAAAAATAATCCCACCCCGAAAGCCTCCAAGCCCGTGTCTCTGGTCAACCTACAAAGTCATCTTTTTGACACCAAAGCCAATGGTCATACCTGAACCCTGGTGCCCAGGAGAATGCAGAGTGCCATCTGAGTAGTCAGGATGAATAGATAAACCTTCTAGAAAAAGAACTTTTTTTGTTTTTATACCTTCTGGAATTGAGACACAAGTGCCATAGAAATGCTAACTGATGCTCTATCCACTGAACCAATCCGGCTAGAGCCATCAGCCTGTGGACCAAGGGTCCCAGGTTTGATTCCGGTCCAGGGCATGTACCTTGGTTGCAGGCTCCACCCCTGCTTGGGCCCTGGTCGGGGCTCCTGTAGAAGGCAACCAATTGATGTATTTCTCTCACATCGGTGTTTCTCTCTTTCCCTCTCTCTCCCACTGTCCCTAAAAATCAATGGAAAAAAATATCCTTGGGCGAGGATAAGCAAAAAAAAAGCTAACTGCTAGAGGGCGTGGCCTCATGAACCATCTCTAATCTTCTGCAGGGAAGAAGCCATCCTCTCTCTACTGCAATTTCCCCTCTGATGCAGTAGGCTTAGTCCCCTGTCTTTAGTAAGTTGGTCTGGCAGTCACAGGGCGGCTCACAGGCATTCATCAGCCAACCTTTCCCAGTCCCCTGATACCATCGGACCTGGGAGATAAAAGACAAAGGACTGTGATGGGAGACGAACAGCCTTCGGGCAGCTGAGTCTGCAGTGCAGGCCGCTCTCCTGCCTGCCAGCCAGCCAGCTCAGTGAGGGATGGCTGCATGTCCCCCAGTCTGTATTTCTCAGGGCAGGAGTCTGGCCCCACCAAATATTAATACGAGAGGGTGACAGGCCATCCGTTGTGTTTGCAAAAGGAGAGCAAAGAAATATTTCAAGGGTGGCAGAAAATGCTGAGGAGGGAGGAAATCTTGTACACAAAATCTTTCTTTCTAGTCTGTCCAGAATGGGGTGGCAAGACAGCTCAGAACTTCCCTTAAAGCAACTCTCCCTGTCAGTGAAATCCATGCACCTGTTCCCATCTCGCTTGGTATTCCTGAGACAAAGTGAGTGTAACTTGGGGGGATGCTCTGAGAGAATAGGTAGTTCTCTGTTTTGTGGGAGACTAGCAAAGGAGGAAGAGGGGAGGAGAGGAGACACAGGTGAATGAGGAAAAAGCCCAAGATGGCATGCTTGCATGCTCAAGCCTGTCCCTCTTTTCTCCCCCGCACACAGAAGCATCTCCTAAATGCTAATTGATCCCTGAAACTTGCAACTGGAGTAGCAATGGTCAGTGACAATTCATTCCCGGAAAACCACCTAACCCCGTCCCTATGGCACCCTCTTTTCTCACTTCTCCATGAGCCTAGGCTCATTTCCCCAGCGCTTTCTTATTTCACTGTCCCAAAACTCTAATAAACATCCTCTAAAATAAAAATAACAAAAAACTAAGAAAATGCCCAAGATACAATATTTCTCTAAAATACTCCTTAGATGTACAAAAGCAACCAACAGTTACCCTGAAAACCACACTAACCCAAACATCGGAATGTTCCAGATGCCCACAGTCTACAACTTCTGGCCCTTCTCCTTGCTTTGCCTCCATGGAGAAGCGTGAGGGTTGAGAGCACCCTGAGAGTCAGAGTGGAGATGGGCAGAGAGACCCTTCCCTCCCCCAGGCACAGTAGCCAGTGGTGCACAGCAGACAGCTGCTGGGAACGAGGTGGGATGGCTCTGTCTCAGCAGGTGCAGCCTGACAATGGAGTCCCTGCTCGGATCCCAGCTCAGCGGCCTGGTAGCTATGATGCTTGATTCTGGTCGGCTTTGTTCCCGTCTTGGGTGTGGGACAATGCCCCCTCTATCAGCTGAGTGCACCTTCAGGTACACCCTAACTCCTTAGCAACCACCATTTGGTTTAAAAGCTCCCATTCCCCCTGAGGATGAAGAGCTTAGTGGCTTCTAAAAGCACATCTTGGAGCAGTAGGGTCTTAGCTTCTGTCTCACGCCTCCCTTCTGCCCTCTGTGCCAGGTACTGTCTGATGCTCTCAATGCTAGATCCGTGCCTATGCCTCTCACAGAGGCACAATAAATGTTAAGCTGAATCATACGTTAAACCTAAACGTTTCCATGGAGTTCACTTTTCCTCCCTATTCCATTCTCCCGGTTGTGGTTCATCACCAAGGTACTCTGCATGGCTACGGTGAATAATACAGCCCAAAGTTTTTCATGACAAAAGTATTTTTCTGTCAAAACCGGTTTGGTTCAGTGGATAGAGCTTCACCCTGTGGACTGAAAGGTCCCAGGTTCGATTCCCGGCAAGGGCATGTACATTGGTTGTGGGCACATCCCCAGTAGGGGGTGTGCAGGAGGCAGTTGATCGATGTTTCTCTCTCATCGATGTTTCTAGCTCTCTATCCCTCTCCCTTCCTCTCTGTAAAAAAAAAATCAATAATATATATATTAATATATATATTTTTTAAAGTATTTTTCTTCATCTGTCAGCCTCCCAGATAATCCATTTCTTTCCACCTCTTCCCCAGTCCTCCAAGCCAGATGTTCTTCTGAATGTTCCAACAGGCTGGTGTGGGTGAGGTGGGATGAGAAAGGGCAGGGGATGGGGGTGCTGGGTAAGAAAGCCATCCCTTTCCTTGTCTCCACAGCTGCCTTCCTGCCCTTAGGAAGGGGACAGCAGCACACACATCTGCATTCTCCCACTCAGACCATGCCTACTTCTGCCCAAATGGCCATAGTCTTAATGGCTGATGCTCGATAGGCTAGTGGGCCTTGAGAGAATGCAAAGGGCTGTGCAAACAGAGGCAAGAGATGCTGGAATCTTATACCTGAGCAGGCTATAAGTGGAGGATGATGTGAGGGGGCTGGGGAGAAGGGCTGGAGAAATGAATTAATGAACCCCTAGGTTACACTGAGAGATGCCCTCGTCCTTCAGCTTGCATCTGGAGAATGGATTTTAATCATTCAAACGCACCACCCAGTTGTCAATGCCTTTTCACGTCGCACCCTCATTTGAATGATAGAACAACTCTAAGGTACATAAGGCAGATCAATTCCATTTTGTAGAAGAGGAAACTGAGTCTAAGCAATGTTTTGTCTAAGCAACTTGTCCCAGAGCACACAACTGCTAAGAGCCAGGCTTTGAACTAGAACTCAAGGGCATCCCACTCCGGACAACTGCATGGCAACCAGCGAGCATGCTGTGCCATGGCTCCCCGCCCCCCGAAAACCTGCCTGGGAACCAGATGATGCATTTTAGGGAATATCTGAACTTCCAGTACCTGGTATTTGCCACTTTGCTGAGGGTTCATCAACAGGACCCGTGCTATGAAAACTGCTCTCAGTGGGTCACCGCTGTCTTCCAATTGGTTCTGACTCAGTGTCTCCAACTTGTGGGTTTCTGGGCTTGGAGATGCTAATGATGTTTCTTTCCTCTCCCCCCACCAGCCCCTCTGAAGAAGTGTGGCAAGGGTGTCACCAACTCCCAGTAACCACCTTAGCTTCCCCTGCCATCTTTTAAGCCGTTTGACAGATAGGAGCCTTAGGCAACACACAGAGGGGCAGGGGCAGGGGGGAGGGGGAGGGGGAGAAACCATAAAGCAAGGGGGATACTGACCTTGCAACAAAGTTGAGCTTGTAGGCTCATTTAGTTCTAAATCGGGTGAGGGACATACAGGAGAGAAAAATGAAAACAAACACATATATTATATACAGTAGCTATATATTGGCCATATATAGTTTGTATACTGCCTTTCACAAACATCTCTGGAGCAATGGATAAATAAAGGAAGACAGGACAACCAAAGGCGGCGGGACAAAATGCAGCGTGGGGAACACAAAAGTCAGTGCTCTGTGCTTCCAAACTTGGACATGAAGGCTGGGAAGTGAGGGCGCTGGAGACCGGCATGCTGTTCAGCTGGTTCGACCCTTAGCTTGTGCTGAGCTGGGTATTGATATGGTAACAAAGGACCAGAGATTTGTTTTTGTTTTTTCCAGATGAAATTTGTCCCCACCCCCACCCCATTGTTTCACATTGGGAAACCAAGTCCAGAAATTTCTGCTCCCAGGACTCCAGGGCGGGAAGGAGATCACCCAGGAACCATGGTGAGTGGGATTGTGGGAGCAGTCTTAGGGACCAGGTGCTCAGAACCCTATTGGTTCTGGGCACTGAGAGGAAGGGCCACCCCTTCCCCATTTGGGCTAGATCCCAGCCAAGACGGGATTCCCCGGCACCAGCACTCCTCACTTTCCAACCTTTAGGCCGGGTGGATGGGTGTGCTTAGGTGATAGCATAGCTGGGTGGTGGTGATGCTATGGAAGAGTGAACCTCCTCACCGCGTTTGCCCATTCCCATGGAGTCAAGGCTGCCTTGGAACCTGCTGGAAGGCTGGGAGCTGAGGGGGTTTTCCAAGGATGGAAAAATGACATGGAAACCTTCCTAATTGGGTCACGTGTGTCCAAAGGCCTTGGTGGTGGTGGTGGCCTCCATAATGCGCTCAGGGGCTGTGTGAGGGGCCTTACTCATAGATGGAGTGTCACAATTTCCAGGGAACTGTGTCTCTCCTATAGCATTTGGTGGGCTCCTCCAAAACTGTTCTCTTTAGAGGCTAACATATTGGTGTCTGCTTGACTAAATTGGGAAGATGCTACAAACCTTCCTCCCTCGAGGCTTAACCTGTAAAGGCCCAGAGACCTCTTGCATTGAAGAGCAGCCCATGTGTGCTCCATGCATGGTGCTTGACCCAGATTTCCTGCACGTGTGTCAGTATGGCCACGGCTTTGAATGTGTTCTTCAAAGGGAGCCCTGGACTGTGGAAGCTGGGAATAGTAGGAATGACATGGGGTGAATGCCCACAGAACCACATCAGCACTGGGATGGGCCTGGGGGTGGGGGTGGGGGTTTAATTGCCCTGAGGGGGTCTGTTGAAAAGAGCAGGATTCAGGATACATCCTTCTCTGCCCTTCTTATCACAGATGACAGTTATTGCGCTTTTAAAGTTTGCCTTTTTCTTTCTGTTCTCATCTTAAGGGGAAGAAGGCAGGGGATTAGATAGGAGGGACGAAGCCAAATGCAAAACCATTTCATGCATCCAAATCCGAAGCAGGAGGTCAGAGGTGGAGGGAGACTGAGGGACAGGGACCGCTGAGGGTGGAGAGCGCACACTCAAGTGGCAGGCGGGAGAGCCTTAGATTTGCAGAGCAAGGGGAGGAGGGGCATCTTCCTTTCTAATCCTGGCCCTTCTGCTCATGCAGACAGACACCTGCCAAAAAGCCGAAAAGGCCTGACACACGTGAGAGGCCATTATGACTGCCCCTGTGTGAGGGATGTCAGACAGATCAATCACAGCGCCTGCCATCAATTCCCAGCACCAGTTCTGGGATTGCGGCAGCCTCCCCTCCCCAGCCCTTGTGGATAAAGCTTCAGGTCGTGTGCTAGGTAAAAGGGAGACCGGATGCGATTTGGAAGCATAGGTAGGACAATGGGTGGCACAGAGGGGCTACTAGGGACAAGCTGGGTACGCTGTGCATGGAGGGCAGGAGGCCAAGGGGATGCGGGTGAGGGCGAGGTACTTGAAGCTACGGGATTATCTGGGAGTTCTCTGAAGGAAAGGAAGTTATGCTCTTGCCAATCACCTGCTCACTTCCTCACCTCTCTCTCCTCGTCCCCCTGGAAAATGTGTGTTCACAGGGAGACTGAAGGGGTAGAGATTGGAAACAATGCGCTCCCTGAACTTGGCAAGGTCTGGAGGGGTTTGCCCCCAAAGCCAGGAGAAATGAACCCTGTGGCCTATAAGGAGAATCTGCAACTACTGAGGGGAGGAAGTCCTCCCAGGGGCCTGACCCGGAAGTCACTCCTCCAGGTCACGTATGGCAGCTGCTCTGCTCACAGGAGAAGACAAGGGCCCCATAAGGGGGCTGGCTCATTGGCCTCCTTTGCTTCCATCTGGCACCAATAGCATCGCCAATGTGCAACGAGTGCCCAGCCATCTGTCCCGCACCTATGGGCCCTTCGCTAAATAGTTGTTGAATGAATCGATGCATGAATGACTATGTCACTTCCGTCACGATGGCAGCTCCCTTGCACACATATCCCTTAATCCAGCCAGACAACACATTTTTATACAAGTGGAAACTAGGGCAATACCACTATTCTCTACTTATTCTCCCCATGAAACTAATAGTATTCAGGGACCCACCATCCCACTTTCATACAAAGAATTCCATTTCTCTCAAGTTCCAATGACCAGAAAAAGCTTCAGAAGTGGTTACCATCTCACACGAATTAAGTGAACAAAGCATTGATACAGTAAATTCTCCTCCCTGGCTCTTCACTGCCCCACCCAATTATAGTCCCTGTCCTCAGTGTAGGAGATACCATTGAGGAGAAAAAATTAAATGTCATTTCAGCACCACCAAATCCTTTTCTCCTATCCCAGGATTTTTCCCATTATAGAATGAAATATGAGCATTCTTTTTTAAAAAATTCCCCACTTCCAGCGTCTCTATCTCTCTCATCCTTCCTTCTTTCTCTTCTCCCTCACCCCTGCCTCACTACTCCTGATTCTCTTCTACTTTCCCTCAGGGCCTCTCTTCCCCATTCCTACTGCTCTGCACAACCCTCTCCTTTTTGCCCAGCTCGGGACTCATCTTACCAAAGAGTGTGATGCTGGCATTGGTATGGCCGAGCCTGTTGGAGGCGACACACGTGTAGTTCCCATAGTCGTGTTCTGAGACATTGAAGAAGATGAGCTTTGAGAGGAAGGGTCTGTTTTCCACTTTCACCCCCTTCTTTCCTTCAGCCAGCCTGCGATGAAAAGAAAGAGACGGTTATGCTTTTCTCGCAGGAAGTGGACTCTGGAATTATTGATCATCTCATCCCCACCACACACAGTCCCAGCTGTGTGACATTCATGGAGCGCATGCTCAGAAGTATAGACTTAATTGATGTTGATGATAATGGAAATGGAGATAGTGATGATGACAACCCTTAAAAGAATAATTCAAACTTCAAAGAGAAGAACAATCTGAGAGGTGTGAAGAAAAAAAGCAATAATCCACAATGCTCTTCAAGCACCTGGGCAATAAATTCTCCTCCTGAGAATCTGAGGCATTCTACATGTAATACCTGACTTTGGGCTGTGAATGGGAAATAAGAACCAGGGATCATTCTGAATCCATGGGCTCTGGAGGCCTGAGAGAGGTGATGTGCAGAGTATCATAGCAATTGGCCTGGGAGGGATTAGGGACGCCCTAGAATATGACCCCACAGAGCCAGGACAGTCTCTTGGACAACCCCAAATGGCAGTCCCATAGGACACATGGCTCACACAGGGGCCATTAAAGAAGGGCCACAGGTGGCTAGTGAGGAAAGCAGTTAGACACACTTGTGGAAGCCATGGATTCTGTTACTGGGTAGAGAAAGAGGATGAGGAGAAAGCTGCTGTAAGGGTGGGTGAGGCCATATCTTCCATTGTAGGGGTCATTAGCAGCAATTTCTATCATGATTACATGTCTACACAGAAATCACAAGACCAACCCCCTCCTTTTGAAAAACTCTGAAGTGTCCTTTTTCAGAGAATAGGCATTAAGCGAACATGTCTCTTTCCCTGAAATAACCTGTCTCCTCAGCCTGAAGCTGAGTCTATGTTTTGGGGAAAAGGAATACTCATAGAATAAATCCTTCTGCATGAAAGATCTCCGGGAACCTGGTCACACACTTCAGTGCCTGTTGAGAGTCTGGCTGGGGCAGGATGCGGGCAGAGTAAACAATGTCAAGATGAACACATCTGGGAGCAGGCTCTGGGGACATGAATTAGGGCAAATGGCTGGCATCAGAGTCATCACGCTGAGAAAGACAATATTCCAGCGGAAACAGAAAGTGGAGCACAGCAAGACAATGATGAGAAAGCACGTTGTAAACTGGAAAATGTTATTCAATCTGATGTATTTCTGTGGAGTTGGACGCAGAGAGCTCCTGCCTGTCCCTGGTCACAGCAGGCTGGCACAGAGGGCAGCGGCTCTGTCATTATCTGAAGGTGTTATCTCGGTAAGACTGCAGGATGCCTCTCTCCTCTGCCAGACCCCCTGCACCAGCCACCACAGAGAAGCCGGGTCTGGCTTCAGTTCCCACCTAGTGTTTGTCCCTAGGGGAGCCGGGGGGTTGGCTGGAGGGACTTGCCTTGCTTTTCATTGTGTCGATTCTCCTCGGGGAGCCTTTCTAAGGGCAGTGAACTGGCCTGAGCCCATGAACTTCATTAAAAGGTGTACACTGTCCCCATGGAATGAGGAGTCTGGCTGGGCAGCCAGACACCAGTTATGTTTACGGCTTGCTATGCGCGTACTGATCCTCTAGGGCAGGGGTGTCGAACTCAATCAGAGAAGGGGCCAAAATCTAAAATCCAGCCTAAATCGCGGGCCGAATGGTTTACTGAACAGTCATAAACTGTCATTGTGATGGAAACGCAGCAGAGTGCAGTGATGACAGCGCGCTGCGGGCCACATTGCAAGGCCTGGCGGGATGGATTTGGCCCGCGGGCCTTGTGTTTGACACATGTGCTCTAGGGGGTGCTGTGCAGAGAAGGTGCTGAGGCCCACCTGTCAGGAGGCTTCAGGGAGCTAGCTGCTCTAGCTTTGGCAGTTGGATGCCACTCCAGGGCTGGGGACAAAGAAGGCTTCACCTCATAACCAGGCTGTGAGTTAGATGTCAGCGCTGTGGTGGGAACACCCTGGCCCAAAGAAGGCTCTTATCTAACAGTGCTGAGATGTATTTGGATAAAAACAGTGCCAGCAGCCATGAGCACCACTGTGCGGCTTCTAGAAGGACCCACATATCCCAGCCGCACTGCTACCAGGCTTGTTTCTTAATGTGCCTGGAGACTGGTTACCGGCTCAGGTCCCGAGGATGGGTGGCCCTTAGTAATAATGACAGCACCCCATTTTTCCTCGCTTTGATGGATGTCACTCACAATAGCCTGTGGTGACTGGTGCTCTGTGTACTCCAAAGGGGATGTTTACCCTAACATTTGAGAAAACTGCTCTCCTCATCACACAGAGTCCCCTGATGTGCCTCAGAAGTCCCCTCCTCTCCCTGGACATGTGAGCTGGGTTAGAGCTGGCCTTCCCCAGGCGCAGGGCACGTGCCCTCCCAGACCTGCCACCCTTGGTGGCTGGGGAGGACGGGCAGCGACAAGGACCTTAAAGGCAGAGATGTTCTCCTTAAACGGCGCGCCTAGAGGACAGGCAGCTCGTTCTATGGAAGAACACCGGAAATAAGTAAATGAGCAGGAAGTGGAAAACTGACCCGAACTTGAACTAGCAGAAAAAAGAAGCTTCCATGAGAACTCAAAGGAAGGAAGTCTCAAAGATGTCAGAGCCACTGGCTTGAGTCCCTCCCGGTGATGACCCCTGACTTCCTCCTCTGGGAAAATCCTGGCGGAGACCAGCCCTCTTGGTTGTTTACTTTCTTAGCTTCTCGGCCTCTGAAGCACCTTCTTCCTCCTCCCACCCACATACACCTCGGGACTTTTTTGCATCACCCCCTCTCCGCTTTTAGCAAAGGGTTCTGATTTATTTGTTGCTGCCCATCTTAACATGGCAATTTCCACAGCGGTGAGTGTGCTGCCCAGGGAATGAGCCTCTGACCCTGGGCTAACGTGCCATTTGCAGCGAATCACACCAATGTCCCGGTGGCGGCTGCAGGGTTTCCTCCCCTCTCTTTCTCCTACAGTCAACCAACTACCTGGGCACAAAGGGAGGGCCAACTAGGGTCACAGACTCCTGTAAACCAATCCTGACAGCGTCTGAAATGGAACCGAGGCCTCTGGCTCCAGCTAACTTCTTAGCCAACCTCAGGGTCCCGGGAGCGTTCCTAACACCGCATGCAAGCCTGGGAACGTATTAGAAAGAGCTACAGGCGAAACATCTTCTTTTCTTGGCCTATGAGAAATCCACAGGCCTTCCCATGCCCCTGGCAGCCTTCCTGTGAGGTTTGACTTTCCTTACAAAACGTGTTTCTACAGGCTGGTGAGTCAGTGAGCGTGATTTCTGCATGGCAATATTGGAAGTATAGCTGAGATGCATTAATTAGTGATTGTATATCGTCTCCCCCTGCTAGGCAGGAGGAGTTCAGGGAGGAATTTCATTTGCTACCTCCTGCAACCAGGAACCTGGAGCAGATGCCTTCTTTTTGAGGGGGAGGGGAAAGGGAGTGCAGGCAGGAAGTCCTCACCTTTTGTCGTCCTTGTACCACTGGAATTCTGCTGAGGGCACTGCGGAGGCTTCACACTGCAGGGTCCCCTTCTGTCCCACAGGGACCCCTGTCCCCTTCGCTTCGGAAATGTACGGTGGATCTGCAGAGAGAGGACGCCCTGTAGCATCCGAAAACGCATTCTCCAGGGAGGCCGCTGCCTCCCTCGCTGATTGTATATTTCACTCTCCAATCTATCGCGCTCACTTGAGCTGACAGATTCACTACACACATTGTGCTGCTGGAATGAAACCACTCGCGGTAGTTGTAAGGAAAACCTAGGTCTGCCTAGTGCGGGATGCTTCTAGCCCCTTCTGAACGGAGGCGAATGGCCAGGCGTGCATGCAGGCCCATTTTCTCGTATCAACTTTTTGACTTGCACGGGATGACGCCAAGCCATCAACCCTCTGGTCCCTGGGTTGGCAGTCAGCAGTTTTAATCAGCCTCGTAGCATTTCTGCAAACCAGGTCCTTGCCAGACTACATAACCCCATACTATTCAATTCCCATCAAAAGCACAGTTGTAAGAATAATATTCATAGAGAGTTGCCTGAAGGGTGTACGGACCAGTCATCCTTCTAGGTTCTTCTAAAATGGTTCCTGCATCTACCAGACTAAGCCAGACCTACGAGGCTGGCCTACTTGCATTTGAAGTTTCCCCTAACAACGCTTGGCAATTCCAACAGTTTGCAGGGACGTGCCCTGGGAAGCCAGTGTAATAACTGTGACATTCTATTTAATACAGAAACACTGTAAGTGGTTGAGTACATTTCAAGGTGCTCTATTGGTGGAGACACTGAAGATAAACTTCCCTTTGGTTTCAGGACCAGAACAAGCAATGCTTCTCCCAAGTAACTAGCTGGCTTTTATCTGATGGACATAAACCTGAAAACAGAGGATCTTTTGCCCTAGGCTCAGTGGCTAGAGCATTGGCCTGTGGACTGAGGGGTCCCAGGTTCAATTCTGGTCAAGGGCACATGCTCAGGTTACTGGCTCAATCCAAAATAGAGGGCATGCAGGAGGCAGCCCATCAATGATTCTCGGTCACCATTGATATTTCAACCTCTCTTTCCCTCTCCCTTCTTTGAAATCAATACAAATGTTTTTAACAAAACACACATATGCCATTCACTCTCTAAGAGTTGGCTCTGTATCCATCTCTTTTCCGTGGCCATGCCAGCAGTCCACCTCCACACGGGGCGGGGGTCCCATGACACCACTTACAGTTCACCGTGACCTTCACTCTTCGCACCACGGGAGCAGCCACGTCGTTGGAGGCGCTGCACTCGTAATCCCCGGACTGCTCCCTGGTGATGCCCTGGATTTCCAAGTATTCGTCTTCACTCACAAAGCCCACAGCTGCCGGAAGGTGCGATAGCATAGGAGAGAAAACAGCAAAGGCTCTTAGCAACTGACGTAGGACATGGTTATGTCTGCCACGTCCAAGTTCAGATTCCTCAGCACGGTGTGGATTCACACTTCCCTTCTCCCACCACAGCCGCCACCACTATCTCCTTAGCTCCCCAAGGGACTAGCTGAGATGCTTGTGTTCCCACCTGGACTAAACAAATGCCTAGAGACATGTGCACTGCCCTGATCTTACAGAGCACCCTGGCTGTGGGTCCGAAAAAAGCCCCTAAGATATATCTAAATTCTTTCTGACTCCAGGTGCCATTCAGATTGAACTTGGGAGTAGAGACAATGCCTACATCCCATATCACATATCAGTTAAAAATACCACAATAGCTTACACACACACACACACACACACACACACACACACACACGTCACAAAAGACAGTGGGAACACTCATACAAGTTAATTTATTTTTACAGCTAGACAGTCAACTGATAAGCAAAAGTCCATTTCCCAAACTTCAATCTATTAATAGTAACTATGGAGCCCAGCAGACATGGCTCACTGGTTAAGCTTCAACCTATGAACCAGGAGGTAACGGTTCCATTCCCAGTCAGGGCAGATGTCTGGGTTGTGGGCTCTTGGGTATAAGCTCCGGAAGACAAGCCAACACCAGGGACTCCCCACTCTAATCACAAACATGGCAGAAAGTAAAGGACAAGAGGGCAGGTACATATTTAGCTGCCATTTCATCATCAAAATCCATTCTGTATGAAAGAGTCATGAATAATAATACCACCCCCCTGCCTACTAGACTCCCCACCGGAAGCCTGTATGAAAGGATCTAATGATGGAACGACCATGACATTCAAGCCTAGGAGATGTGTTTCTTGGTTTTCTCTCTTGTTGCCCTGAGTTCTGCCTCCTCAAAGAAAGACAATAGAGAACAGAAGTAACTGCTTCCTTCCCAGGGAAGTATCTGGCCTCATCCGTTCAATGAAGTCACCAGCATGATGATATATGCATCGTGCGAACTGGGATACCTTGAAGAGTTCAAGGAGGTGATATTAATAGTGACTATGGAGCCCAGCATGTGTGGCTCAGTGGTTAAGCTTCAACTAATAACCAGATGGTCATGGTTCCATTCCCAATCAGGGCATATGCCTGGCTTGCAGGCTTGATCCTTAGTGTGGGGCGTGCAGGAGGTAGCCATCAATGATTCTCATCATTGATGTTTCTTTCTCTCTCCATCCTAAAAAAAAAGACAGTGGGGCAGCAGTATGAGTTGAGACTGTCACTAGCAACTGAGACATTTGCCCAGGCAGGATGTACACACAATCCCAACACCTCGGAATGACAAATGGAAACACACACAAACATGAGAGCACTTTGAAAACTTCCATGTGTTGCGCACCTGCTTTCACTAGCACTCCTGTCATCTGCCTGGAAGCACAGGCTCCATGAGTGGAGCTAGATTAACATGCATGGCTCCACATCGCATGAGCAGGGAGGAAAGAGAGGATCACCTTTCTCCAGGGAATAGGACTGCCATATCATGCCACATGACCTCCTGCTCCAAAGCATGACAACAACAACAGTGAGAAACTGGTAAAATACAAAACATGACAGATGTGCTATGTAAGTTCCAGTTGAATTTGTTTTGTGACATGAAGGTCACCAGTTTGTCAAGGTAGCAACAGTGGTGATAACGATGGCAACAGTCTTGAGAAAAAGGGCCATGACCTGCCTGACTGGGCCACCACTCCTTGGACACGATACCACTGAGCCACCCTCTAGTCATAAGCTCAATAAGGTTGCCATTTTCTCATGTACTCGTATGACCTAGGAAACCCATGCTACATATGTGTGGGAACTCTTGCCTCCACTACCTACACGAGAGAGAAAGAACAGCCTGTAGCTACCAAGACAAGCAAGACTCAAATTCCCAGGAAGAACCAGAAACTTAGTAATGAGTAGAAAACAGGGCCAAAAGGTTCAGGTTGTGGAGAAGACAATCAACATTGACCCGTGGGAACTCACCGTCTCAAACCAGTTAAGAAACATCTCTAATTGTCACGGTAGCCTTTTGTTCTTATTTCTTAAGCATCTTCAGGAGGGGAAAGGACTAGCCTTGATGTGAGGAAGAATGACGGAAACCAGGAGCAAAGGTTCAAAGGAAGAGTTGGCAATTCCTTTCATCTTGTTGTTTATTTGCTACCAGGCTGGAGCCTACATTTGTCAGATCTTTCCCAGCTGGAATGGTATAATTACTGTGCAGAGCTTCTCAGAGACCAGTGTCACACTTAATATTCCCATTAATTTTAAATGGTAGTCTTTGGTACATATGTGTGGCAATTGATGTCATATTTTAATTAGGCTTGCCCTACACCATCTGAAATTAATAATAGCTTGAATTACCAGTGTAATTTATAAATTAACAGTGCCGTAGCATTAGGAAATAAATTAGTTCTGGACAGCTGTTTCTGGACTGAGCTTCGTGTCTGAGCAGTGATCGGACCCCAGATCCCTGGGAAGTCCATGGACTGCACCATCAAAGCAATGAAATAAAACTATATGGGTTTCTCTGGTTCTCTCATTCTTCTCTCTACCTGGATACCAAACATCTAATTTTATTCTACCAACCAAATACGCTCTTGTGTGACCCCAGTAAGACATACAGGGACTCAGTTGCATGAGCCTGTTATAAGGACAGCCAAATGGAGATGCAAGTAGGGGGTTTACAGTCATAGACACAATTGCAAGGTCATAAGTATTAAGGTAATCCCAACCAAGAAGTCATCACATTTTCTGTGCAGATGTGTGTAATTTTATATATTTCTATCAGGCAGTCTTACATAGTGAAGGAGAGCTTACGATTTGGGGAAGGTCCAGATTTGTATTACCACGGGGAAGGAATCTACACTGAGGTCATCACGCAGAAAACAATGAAGCTTAACCCGACTATCCTGTGCTCCCCAAACCAAGTGTAGAATTACAGGAAAACCACAATGGCTCCATTACTCCCCGACTTCATGCACTCTGTAATTCAATTGGGTGAGGCATGTGAAAACTAATTCATACATAGAACAGTGCTTTATCTGTATTATCTTTCCTTGCCATCATTTTCACCTTTCTCCTCGCATACATGGTTTCTTTACTAAAAGCAAAGATGGCAATACCAAAGAGGAAGATATTCAGTATGTACATAACAAATTAGACTCTGAACCACCAGAAATGAGGTTCCTACAGGAGATGCCTCAGACAAGCCAATAAAAAACAAATAAACAAACAAACAAACAAAAAACCCCCAAAAACTAAACTAAACCAAAATCTGAATTTATAAGAGGCAATGATTTGAGCAAAGTTTTTCCTTTAAATACCATTTGTGCTCTGGTTCTGAACATGGACCAGCTGACACCTTGAATTTGGACTTCTGGCTTTCAGAACTGGGAGAGTAGACATTTCTATTGTGTAAGTCACCTCCTCTTTGTTACTTTCTTGTGGAAACCTAGGAAACGAATACACTCCTGTCTCTCTCCTAATTCCCAGTGCCAATGGCTGTCTGAGTGTAGAGTTCATCTATTAAGGTAGTTCACCTAGAGTTTGTCTAGTCTTTAGAATCACAATAAAATTAAACTAGCCAAAACCGGTTTGAATCAGTGGATAGAGCATTAGTCTGCTGACTGGAGGGTCCCGAGTTCAATTCCAGTCAAGGACATGTACATTGGTTGTGGGTACATCCCCAGTGGGGAGTGGGGGGTTTGGGGGGGGGGTGTGTGTGCAGGAGGCAGCTGGTCAATGTTTCTCTCTCATCAATGTTTCTAGCTCTCTGCTCCTCTTCCTTCCTCTTTGTAAAAAATCAATAAAATATATTTTTTAAATTAAACTAAAGAGCTCAAGGCATCATGAAAGATTATATAATCCCATAGTTATGCTAGGACATAGTCTGATTCAGTAGGATTACCTAGAAGAGTTATTTAAATATAGATTTCTAGACCCTACCATAACTACTCAGTTTCCTGGAATGAGGAGTTTTCATAATTTTACCAGGAAATTCTCACATATAGTCAAGTTAGGAAATTAGTAATTTTGTTAAATCCCAACTACAGTTTATAGGAGCCCATGTCAGGTTAGTGCCAGATCACACCAGTTCTCTTGGTGTCCAATCCACAGATGGTTTTTGCTATATTCACTGTCTTATTTCTCAGTGCAATTGAAACCCCCCAACAGCGGGACTGAGTCCTGTACATCCTGGCTCTCAAGACACGAAGGGAAATAGTTTATATAATTTGAAGTTTGTTAAATTCTTATTAACAAATGGATTGATAGGCTCAGAAGTACTTAATTAAAAAAGAGAGGGAGAGCAAGAGATCCAGGGACTCCATGCTGCTCTCCTAATCCTCATGTGGTTCTATTCCCACCACAACACCACTTCTGATAATTGTTCTTAGCATAATATTTGTATTTCCTGACGTTCAACATATCATCGCTATTAATGTTCTAACAGCACTGACTTTCTTTAAATGTGCGATTTAAAAAGGTTTATTGAGTGTTTAGTATAATTTATATTGGTCTCGGGGCCAATTATTTCCTCAGGGAAATGCATCCTTAATTTAAAAATGAAGATCAATGAGGAAGTATGATGCATTGAACAGAATTTGTTCTACAGCCAACTTTTCAGGAACACAGCTATTTCATTAAGTGGATTCTGACAATTCAAGTCGGGAAATAAAGTGAGTTGGAAAGTGATTCCACCTGCCCTCCAGTCCCCAAAGAGGTCCACATTGCCCATGGGCTGAGCTCCGCAGCTTCCCTCAATAATGGACAGCACTGCCCTATGTAAGTATACATATTTTCCAAAAGGAGAAAAGCCCAAGGTCCTGAGTTCATAGATTGGGCATTAACAGTCTTTAGAACCGAAAATAATAGCACCCGTGATTATCATTTTTATCGCACCTAAGCATAAGCTTGTCAGGGGCACAGCTGTAGCTATTGGAGAGGA